TGGAGGATTCTATATTTGTTTTAGTTACCCCTTGGTCTTGCAGATCCTCCTCTGGCCAATGTGTCTTCTTTCTCATTACACAAATTCTTCTGTGCCCTGGCACCCACGATATCATCAGGGTGCTGTGTTTCCCCAAGATTTGGTGATTTTGGATGCATTCACTTATTAATTTACCATTAATTAATTGACCAGATCTTATGAGGATTTTTTTTCCAGTGTAACCTCTTTTAAGATTTTGCACAAGCATTGGTGGCATATATTTCTGCTTAAAAGACCGAAGTGTACTTCCCTAATGAGTTTGATTGCTCATATTTTCGGCTTGTACAGAAAATGCCCGATCCGGTTCCTTCGTTTATTTTGGCGGTTCACCATCGTACTTCCTCCTCGATCGTGTCATAAGTTAATTACTCTACTTTGAGACCTAAAGTCGTTGATATTTGGAGGTCACCCTTTGTTCCCACTTCACTCAGCACCTTTGTACAACTTACAAACAGATGAGAACAATTGAAATTGTTGGTATAGAAACGCTTTGGTTAGATTGATTTTTATTAGGGCGAGGGTCAGGCAAAGTGTAACGGTTGAGAGGTGAAAGGTGGCCCAATGCCCCAACTATCACCTCGGCTAAGTAATCCCTATCCCATTAGGTATTCGTTTCAGTTTCGGACAAAGGCCTTTAAGAAATTAGTCAACGCTAAAGCGCCCCGAAGAGCATTGTCTCCGAACAATAGGTATAAACCGAGAACAACGCCCATTCGGCAATCGGGTTTTCGTTGTAATCGCCTCGTCAAATAGCCTAAAACCGGGGATGAATTTTAATTTGTTAAACGCCGGTTTCCTTGCGTGAAATTATACCCCTGAACTTCTTTCAACAGATCTAGCCAGACGTTTTACTAAAACGGACCACATTAAATCAGCCAATCAGACTTCCAGGCAGATATTTAAACCTTATCTTAAAGAGAGTCGTAAAGCACTTGACAGAATTCGAAAAGACAGGAAACAACGATTATTCTTCTCAGCAAGAGGCAAACTGATGACGTGACGAAAGGAATAAAAAGACCAGGAAACAATTTTATAACGACTTTTAATTGATGGGATTTATCTTCATTGGCGTGTCTCTCGAGTGACGAGGTGATTTGGCAGGGATTTTGGCGAAAGTTCTCGCCAACCCAGATTCAACAGTTCATCGTATTCCGTTCTAAAGTAATTATTGAAGTTATACCCTTCCAAATTCACTTTACCAACGGTCGTTATTGTTCCGACACGTTGGGTTAAGTGTCGAGGATTCTCAGACTTCCTCCGTTCAAGGCGTTTACTGCAAAACGTACCGACGTTATTATCGGCTTTCATACGAGACTACATTTTATTGAAATCGATCGATACGAAGTCGTAAAATATTATGAATCTTTTCCCATTAAAGAGACCGAATGCGTTAAGCCGGGAACACACTTACCCGATGCAACGCCATGCGACGCTACCCGACGTGTTGTCACGTTTTTGTACGGTGTGCACATCTATGCGACGTCAAGCGCACGCCACGTACAGTCCACAGCGTGTATCACAAATCACTATCACAATCGCAACGCCTCTTTTGTTCTTAATGCACTATTTTGAGCAAAACCTTGTAATAAATTGTTAGTTAAATTTTATGAGCACAACCATGTAATAAATGGTTTGTTAAAGTTAATTGTTTTAAATAAAGTTATTCCGGTGTTTTGATAAATTTTTTCCTAACCGCCATAATTAAATAATTTTTATAAAAACGTGTAGAAATGTGTAGAGATTACCCCGACCGCATCTCACGATATCTGAATAACTATTTTATAAAAACTTATGAATTTTTGATCTCGTTTAATTTGGTTTACATTAAAATAGGAATGTTGTAATTAATATAACGACAAAATTACATATACCTAGTTTAAAGTAAACTACAAAAAATATGAGTGTTCTGTTCTGACGTTACTCGACGAAAATGGTGTAATTTTATGAGCAAAACCGTGTAATAAATTGTTAATTACATTCATTATAGCAAAAAATGGTATTCCGGTGTTTTGATCAATTTTCTACCAAACCATTAAAATTAATTTTAAAAAAACTAATGAATTTTTGATCTCGGTTAATTTGGTTTATATTAAAATAAGTATGTTGTAATTAATATAACGACAATAATACATGTTGTTTGAATAACATTATGAGTGTCCGGTTCTTTTGTCTTCGACTGTACTCGATGCTTCCCGACGAAAAAGTGGACAGTGGGGATTGCGTAGCGTAGAGTAGGGTAGCGTAGCATAGCATCGGGCAGATGTGCACGGCGGTAATACAATCTTATGGAAAAATAGACTTGCGTCGGATAGCGTTGCATCGGGTAAGTGTGTTCTCGGCTTTAACCAATTGGTTTACGGAATGCTTTCTGTCGGTTTCCACACCAGCCGAATTTTTCAAAGCGCAAATTAACCACGCAGTCGGAGCAAATTACAACCTGTCAGAAAAAGTCAGACATTTTCTAAATTTCCGTATTAATTTTTACACATCGTAATTTCATCTTTATTAAAACATCAGATTAACAGACTGACCGCTGAAGATGGCGAAATGTCGATATAGGTCTGACAGATCTTCATACCAGAATAGAAAGACTAGGCGGAAACGACCGAAATACACATTTTTTTGTTTAAATTTTATTTAATAATTTACGTTATGTACTATTTGAACCTCTGCATTTCGTGCTGGTTTAGTTTTAATTCTCAATCATACCTGTGAAGGTCTGTCGTCGGAGCGACTGTCAGCCGTTTTACTTAATATTATGTTTATTCGGAAATAGTTAGATGCGGTCTGGTGTGACGTAGGTTTCAGAAAAACATTTTTTTTTATCGTGCCAACGTTTAATTCTTTATTGGGATCATCTTCAGGGCTCAAAATGTGAGAGACTCTCAACGCGAATTTGCACATCTACACGGAAAACAAACACTTTGAGCTCTGAAGATGATCTCAATAAAGATTGAAACGTTGGCACGACATAGAAAATGTTTTTCTGAAACCTACATCACACCAGACCGCATGTCATGATTTCCGAATAATCATCGACTTACGGTCACTAATCACCACACATTAATATTGTTGGTCGATGGAGGAATATCTAGTACCGCACTGATGCAATGCCTATATATGTGAATGTATTTATTTGTGCGACTGTATTATAGAAGTTAGGTTTAGGCTTATTTATATTTTGCACCCGTTTGGAGCTAAACGACATAGCTGTCGAAAGCCCTCGTTCTTCGAGAGATCTTTCTCTTTCACTGGAGATCGTAGAGCAAATCTACACTCATGTGTAAAAAGTGCAGCAGACCAATCGTCCAAAGACTAATGGCTGTGTTCTCCAGCAAAGCGAGCCATGCAACTTCATGTGTTCATACTGATTTAATCTTCTTCGAGCAGTGCGTTGAGAAATTTACCACCCCCGAACTGGAGCCGACTAATTGCTTGAACTTGTAAGCTTCCGGTTTCGCAAAATTCTCAAAGCCCAAACCTGTGGTTCTGTTACTCTAGGACCTTCAGCCCAGAGCCGGGCCTCCTATGGTAGAACATCTCACTACGCCTCGAGTGTTTCGTGAGGAATGTAATAGCCTCATACCTGATGGAACGTCCATCATCAATAAGTGCCGCACCATGCGCAACATCCTCAGCACTAAGTGGCATTTTTAAGTTTAAAAATTGAAATTAAGAAAACAAAGATGAAAACTAAACAGTTTATTGCTTCAGAATTCAAATGAGATTGAATAAAATTTTAAATTCCTTAAAAAGTAAACATTTAAAAATCATTTATCCTTGTTTGGAATAAGATTAAGTCTGTTCACCTCTAAATTGATATTCCCAATGTAAAACATAGCATAAACAAATATTTATTGATAAAAACAATGAGATAAATTAAGGGCAGAATTTTCTTTTATCGAGGAAATGAAAAAAAAATCAAATTTGTTGGAATTTTTGCTGTAAGTTTATGTATGAGTTACAACATACTTATTTTAATATAATGCAAACTAATCACGCAGTCGGAGCAAATTACATCCTGTCAGAAAAAGTCAGCCATTTTCTAAATTTATGTATTAATTTGTTTTTATATTGTAATTTCATCTTTATTAAATAGAGTTTAACAGACCGACCGCTGAAAATGGTGAAATATCGAAATAAGTCTGACAGATTGTACACAATGACCGAAATTTTTGTTTAAATTTTAGTTAATAATTTACGTTATGGGCTATTCGAACCTCTTCGTTTCGTGCTTGTACAGTTTTAATTCTCAAGCATACGTGTGAAGGTCTGTCGTCGGAACGTCAGCAGTTTTACAATCGCCGATCATCCGGTCCGCCTAGTCCAGACGTGTTTCGGCCAGACACGTTTTCATTTGCGTCAAAAACCGCTGACAACGCGAAGTAGAGTATAATTTTAATGGAATTTCGGACTTTTCTCATAGTTGCCTGCCAACCGATCTTTAAATTTTTGCATAATAGAATATCAAGTTAATTTTAAATTAAATTTTTTTGTGTGGCTAAAGTGAAAAAGTCCGCCCGACATGTCACAGAGAAAAAGTAACGCCCTTTTAGAAAATAAAAGTTTTATTTTCGCCCTTTGGGGACTCGTGCGGACAGCCGGAACTTTTCTCCATTTAGTAGTAAATTTTGTCCGACAATGAGATGTAAAATAAATGGAAATTCCTTTAAAAAAACACGCTTTATGAAACAGATTATATCAAAGAGAGAATGATTTTGTTATTTGATAGCTTTACAAAAATCAAGTAGCTTTTACTATAAAAAAAACCAAGAAAAAGATGAGTACTTCGCCTCCGTTATGCATTTTGCCCTTTGATCGTAACTTTAACAATTGCTCGTGAGAAAGTGCTGAATTGCCGTTCGGCACGGTCGAAGCCGGTCACGGAGAGGCTTTCGCCTTGCAAGGACGTTCCGCCGAACGCGGTGCCACATCTGCTGACCTCAACTTTTATGCTCCAGGTTCGCTCACGTTCATGCCGAAGACGTTGAAGCTGCTGAGAGACGGCGGGGCCGAGTTCCGGCACGCCTACACCACGACGCCCATGTGCTGCCCGTCGCGGAGTTCCATGCTCACCGGCATGTACATGCACAACCACGAGGTGTACACCAACAACGGCAACTGCTCCAGTGCCCAGTGGCAAGCGACCCACGAAATGCGATCATTCGCTACTTACCTCAGCAACGCCGGCTACAGAACAGGTAAGCTTTCAGTTTGCATTGTCTATTACCTCATTTTAATTTGGACTCATTGAGACTACAATACAAAATTCCTTTTCCTAGACATCATTTCAACAATTCTACATGTACATACTTTACATCATAAGTAATTGATAGAAATAAATGATGAATGATGGAGTGAGTGCGGTGTTCAATCCTTTTTAACCCCCTTGTATAGTCGGAATCGTGGGACGATATGATTTATGAATGTGATTGCGAAGAGCATGTAGCAAACTGTATCACTGTTAGTCGTTCACGAAGGTTTTGTTTTTTCATGCAGTTATGGGTCATTTTGGTCCGTGAAGGATAAATCAGTGGGGTACAACATGGGATCACAATGAGAGCTTAACAAATTAACTTTGGACACTTTGACAACGATGACTTGGCAGTTCTCCTTCTGAAAATGGAAAGCACGTTTGTTAAACTCCGTTCACAGTTACATATATATAAAGAGTGTTAATATATGTTGGTCGATGGAGGAATATCTAGCACTCCACCGACTAATCAGAATGAGCGCAATACATATGTGGACTGGCTATAGAAGTTAGGTTTAGACTAAATTATATTTTGCCCGCATCAATGACCTAATACTTCTGAGGATTGCAACTAGGGAACTAGGAAGTGCGATAAGCCATAAGGCCACAGTGCATGGGGACCACAAACCCTTTCCCAGTTTCATCATCATCACCGAAAGCCAATATATTCAAGAAAAGTGGTAACTGAAAAAGGGATAGTTTTTAGGAAAGTACAGCTGGAATTTTCAAACTTTTGTTTTTTTCCCCTACTTCTTGGTCAAATGAATGATAATATAGATGGATCAAGACAGTTATAGCGAATAACTGTAATGGCGGGTATATAAAAATAAATTAATTTTCAACTATCTCTTCTGTAAAATATTCTATTTTTGAGTTGTGTTTAGTTGAGTTTTCCTCTGCGATATGTGCAGGGATGATCGAAGCATAGAAGCCCAGGGTGTTTAAAAAACAAACCTTCTTCTCAAGTTTTTGGTACACTTTCGAAAAATCATACAAAACTATACTTTCAATTTTTTGGCACAACATTGTTCCTTAAGAGAATGCTTGATGAATTGAAGTAATAAGGTAACGAAAAACACGAGGAAACGTTAAAAAGATAATTATTCGGAAATCGTCTGATGCGGTCTGGTGTGACGTAGGTTTTATAAAAACATTTTCTTTATCGTGCCAAGGTTTCGATCTGTATTGAGATCATCTTCAGGGACTGGGATTTATAAACATTGTTTAAATTTTACAAATACATGTAGGAGGTGAGAAAAAAATGAATTTGTACAATGCTAGAACATTTTAGATTAAAAGAAAGAAAAGAAAAAGAAAAAAATGAATTCATACAATGCTAGAAAATTTGAGATGAAAAAAAAAAGAATTTATACAATGCTAGAAAATTTGAGATGAACAAAAAATGAATTTATACAATGCTAAAAAATTTTAGATAAAAAAATAATAATAAAACAAAAATCAAATGAATTTGTACAATGATAGAACATTTTAGTTAAAAAAACTGATTTTATACAATGCTAGAAAATTTTGTAGCATTGTAAAAATTAATTTTTTTAAAATCTAAAATGTTCTAGCATTGTGTAAATTCATTTTTTTAATCTAAAATTTTCTAGCATTGTACAAATTCATTTTATTTTACTTTTATTTAAAAAAATGAATTTTATACAATGCTAGAAAATTTTATGTTCACTCAAAGTATTTGTACTCTACATTACTGTGAGTACAAATACTTTGATTGAATCTGAAATGTTCTAGCATTGTATAAATTCTGTTTTTTATCAAAAATTTTCAAGCATTGTATAAATTTATTTTTTTAATCTAACATCTTCTAGCATTGCGTAAATATATTCTAGAAAATTTTAGATTCGATCAAAGTATTTGTACTGACAGTAGTGTAGAGCACAAATACTTTGATTGAATCTAAAATTTTCTAGCATTGTATGAATTCATTTTTTTAATCTAAAATTTTCTAGTATTGTATACATTCATTTTATTTTATTTTTATTTTCTTATTTCTTTTTTTTTTTTTTTAATCTAAAATTGCGTTCGGCTATTTCGTTACAGAAGACCATCCCCCATTTGCCTTAAACTGAAATTTTTCGATGTAATTTGGCCATTTAACCCGCAGTCCGTAGGTTGATGCCCCCGTTCTAAAGCATACATTTTTGTTTTTGTGTTTTCTCGGGAACTTTGAATCTCTTGAAACTCTTAGTCACTGTCACATAAGAATCATTTGATATGATTATTGTTGTCAATAATAAAAAAATTGTCACCTTGGTGCCGATGGAACTTTCGAGGATTCAGTTTAGGTTGGATTAAGCAATGTCTTTCTATAGTTCTATTGTCAGAATATGAAATTTTCTTCACATTGGTATTAAAATGTCTTTTATGTTTTCATTGTTGTGCATATAGAATTATCAAATAGGTTGTGGGTATGGACAAATCTCATGGTGGCCCGGTTATGGACCTACATTCACAAGTCACTGTTTGGGAAAAACACGTCTGTTTGTTATCAAGCCTTCATAACTCACACCAATTTTAGAAGTTTGTGTCTGTGTGAGAAGACCGAGAGATCACGCATGTGGAGAGGTATTGGTAATTGGCGGTGAGGTTCAGGAATCCCGGCATCCCACCAATTACCGGTTCACGGCCTCCTTATATTCTCACCGAGGACTCTTGAATGTGAGTCGAGCCCTTCGGCTTTTATTCACCAGAGGTACCCTTGGAAATTCATGAGCGGTAAATTGGGGAAGTACGGTTTTAAAAATGTACGAACCCTCGCCTGAGAGGAAAATTTTAATGAAAATTCGAACACCTTCCATTCGGCAAGCACTTTCCCCGTTCCCTTTTCTTTTCTTTTCACTTTCTGAAGGCGGCGTTTGATTCCCTGACCCCTAAGTTCGTGGAAAATAGATTAAGTGTCGGTTCTAGATTGATTCTTGTTCTCTGTCTTTTCACTAACAGTCAATTCAGAGATACTTTTGTTCTGGATTCTATGATCTTATCTTTTTATTTTATTTCATTTATTTATTAAAACTGGTCTTATTAGACCAAGCATTAATTTTACATTAATGTATATTTATAATAAATAAATGTTTACATTCTTATAAACTCATTGGGTACAATACGTTTTACAATTCACTATTCACAGATTTTTAACTACACTAGTTCATATGGGTTTTTTCTTTTTAACCTTCTGACGGTGTTTCCATCAAGTAGGAGTTTGGTCAATTCCACATTCTTGTGCTGGCTGAGGCGAGAATGGGTTTTGGCGGCAAATTTTTGTATTTGCGCCTTGACCTCAAGGATCTTAAGATCCCTATGTAGGACCTTGTTCCTTACGTGCCAAGGTGAATTCACCATACTACGTAAGGTATTATTTTGGAGTTTTTGTATGATTTTGATATAAGTTCGTTTTCCCTAATATATTGGACTTTAGAAAACAACTGAAATGTGTACCAATGATGTTCGGACCTTCTTATACCGCATACACTTCACGTGGAATAATATTTTAAATAAAAGACTAATCTACAACTCATTACTCAAACCCATGGATTTATTGTGTGGAAATGGGAATTTACTGTATGGGCTCAGCCAACGCATCCAACTCATATCGAATCCAAAATCCTCAGTTGTATTGCAAATGGTTGGCAACCCATGGGAAAATACGCCAGTACCTTCCAAGCTGAGATTGACGCAATCGAGAGATGTACTCAATTCAACTTGACTAAAGTACATACATATATTATACATCTACATAAACAAGAACATAGACATCATGTAAGATAGCCAATCAGGCATCAAAGCACTAAGCTCAAATATAATTAGTTCAAAGAAGAACACAGAGGAAAATCAGCCTCTGCTGGGCCCCAGGACACATGGGAGTAGAAGGCAACAGAAAGCGGACACCCTTGCAAGAAAAGGTGCTGCTATCCGCTGATAGGACCCGAACCCTTCTGTGACATAGGCACCCACACTATTAATGAGTATCTCAGACAGAAGGACAGAAAGAAAATGAAGAAACAATAGAATTCACTCATTGGACACAGTCAATCCAAGAATCTCCTAACAAACTAAGGAAGAAAAGAAGCTGCAGAATGTGCCAAAGGAAGCAGGAATAAACTGCGAATCCTCATAGGATTCTTAACAGGACACTGCAAGCTAAATGGACACTTAAAGAAGTTTGGAATAATCCAAGACGGCACAGGCAGATATTGCAAAGATGCAGTGGAGACACCAACATATCTACTAACAAACTGCGGTGCCCATAGGAGGAAGTGCTTTGGGGTGTACAATATGAGCATAGAAGCGATTCAACCATTGAAAACGGGCCTATTCATCAAGTTGATGAAACATGACGCAACGATTCTTTAGGCAGAGAACTGGGAATACAATACTTCTTAAAGGGTGCAGTATATTACACCCCGACCATTACATCTACATCTATATGATTTTGATATTGCAGTGTTTGGTACAACCCTATAGTTGAATACCGTATGTCCACATCGGCTAGAGGACTTGTTTTTATAATCATATTTTATTTTGTATAGTAAGGTTGGATCCGCGCTTTAGCAACCAGTTTAGTTGTCAATACCTTAAACTATTTGTGTCTTATTTTTGTTCCCGTGCACTTTCAGCTTGCCATCTAAGGTCATTCCCAGATATAATTGTATGGTGTAATTGTTAGAGATGGAACATGGTCCAGTTTTATGTTTGTAAAGTACGGATTTATGCTGACTTAGCTTGATTCTCCTTTTTTTCCATTCATTATTTTATACAAGCTTTATGAAGGTTTTTGGTTGAATGGTTGGTGGCACTACTGATATCACCTCTGTATCATCTGCAAACGTTGAAATTTTACTCCATCTCTTTTCGGCAAATCACTGATGTATAACAATTAAAGCAGTAGACCTAATAATGAACCTTGTGGAACTCCTACATTTATTG